CATAACGTAAAGAATGTGATCGTGCATCGGTTTACGTCGGTTCTTTTTTTCCCTCCTTTTCTGCGAAGCGTGAATGGTCAACGTCCATAAATTTCCGCCGATTTAACCCTATTATCGAGGATCGCGGCGGTTGTGACGAGCATCCAAACTCTCTCTTTCTCTCTCTTTGCCGGGAATTTAAAAAATTCGGCAAAAAATTCGCGAGCGATTTGACGTATTTTTGTAATGACGTGCCCGATTCGTTCGACGAAATTTTCACCTTATTTTCGTCCGATTAAAACTGAGAACAAAGAGACTCGTTTTATTATGTATATATATATCGAAGTTATTAATGCGCGAATATAATGAATGAAATTTTAATTTAATATTCGCTCGCGATGCGCGCGAATGAGATGTGTTTGTTATTCGCGAATTTATTTAAAATTCCGCGTCACACGCGCAGATAAACTTCGCTTCCGTTTTCGAATCCATTTTTCCTATTGTTCACACGACGTACCGTCGATTTCGCGGAATAACCACCGAATCAAATAGAATAATATTTAGAAGCGCGGCGGTCGTTCAGCTTTGTCGACGTTAGTTCTGCAGCAATAATAATAATCATTCGCGGCTTCGCAACAGCGCGAACAGCGTTAATTAAAAAATTCTGCGGTAAAATATGTCCTTATAGTTTCTTTGTGATAATTTAATTATCCTCGGAGTTATTCCCTTTTATATTAATAAAATAAAAAATGTAATTATCAAAATGAAAGTAAAAATGAAAGTAATACACGAAGAGATGTGAAATCTTTTCAGGGTGTTTAGTAAAATTTGAACATAAAATTTAGGGACATTCAAGCAAATTTGCACAATATTCCAATAGTATGAGAAAGATGTATAACCGAAAATTTTATTTATTTATTTTTTTTATCAAGTCAATATAAATTGCAAGTTAATGAAAATTAATATATGCATTACAAATATTCGCTATAATATTTTTTTATATTATATTATATTTGAACTTTAAAATCTACAGAGAAAATTTTTTCTTAGAATTTACCCTGAAATTCATGATAATCGTGGAACAATATGATGTTGGAATAATTTTTTTTTATTTGGAAGAAGAAACTAAATTTCATGTGTAATATATACAGCTAAAATTTAGTTATGATAGCTAATTCTTTTTTTCCGTGGAGAAACAAAATTCCAGAGCATTTCAAGAACTTTCAACATTTCAAAGACAGCTAGACACTTTGCTTTTACATTTCTTTCTCGAAACGAGAGACGAGAGATTGGGGAATATAGTCTAGTAAAATTAGACTTGAAAAGGGCAAAACTTCAAAAAAATTATAATCAAGCTGAATTTTTGTGGGGGCCTTTATTTCTAATGAAATCCTGAAAAGTACCCTTAATTTCAGCCAGGACGTTTTTTTTATGGGGGATAAAAGGATGTAAATTTTAGTTTTTTGCCATTATCTCGAAAACTATCAATTTTTCGAGTAAAATAGTTATTATCAAAATTGTAGCTCATAAAATTCCCTACAAAAAAGTTATTATACTTTTTTTCGTGGAATTTAAAGATATAGAGCGAATTAGGTCTGAAAGAAAATGTGCACATTACTACTATTAGTTACTATTAGAAATATTGCAACTTTACTGCTCGCGAAGTTTTACTCAAAAGCGATTAGTTGTACGAAAAAAAGTATAATGACCTTTTTTGTAGAGAATTTTATGAATTAAAATTTTGATAATAACTATTTTTCTCGAAAAATTGATAATTTTCGAGATAATGGCAAAAAAATTCACCTCCCATAAAAAACGCTCTAACTGAAATTAAGGATACTTTTCAGGATTTCATTGGAACATTGGAATAAAGGTCTCCACAAAAATTCAGCTTGATTATAATTTTGTTGAAGTCAAAGTCTAATTTCACCAGACTAGAAGACAAACAATAAATCTCGTAATAATGTAAGACGAAAGATGCCTCAAACTTAGCATAATTTCAACTCCGAAGTATATATAGTATTTGTAAGTGTTATTAGGCACTTGTTGGCCTTAACGACGTAACGCAACTCCGCGACAAATTAAGCGACGCGTTTTAACGGTAAATGTCTGACGACTGCGGCTTTCGAAAATTGAGTCCTCCGAGTATACAACAATTACAGGCAAGCGTAACTGAATTACGACTGCTCGCGTGGAGAGAGAGATGCACTCGAAGACAGGAATACTTCAAGGCAAGAGACTGATGGTAGTGCTTGACATCCCCGGAATTGCCCTCCCCCGAGTGCATCAACCCTCTTCTCCCTCCTTCATCCCTCTCTTTCTCCACCCTCTTCCGGAATTCCAGATACACGGCGCACCGTTTCGCCGCTTTATTTATGGCCATTGTGTGTTCGTCCTAAAGCTCGTTGCAAAATTAACGCTAGAGAGAGGGAACGCTGTTAAAAAATTATTGCGGGGTACGAGCGAACGTCTTAACAAGAAGGATTGCTAAAGGGAGAAATTTCGATCCTCACTTGACGTTTCAAATCCTACGATATCCTCGCACGTTCCGCGCTCGAAGCTACAAGTAATCATTTCACGATTCTTCAGCTGGAGCTTTTCGCTGAAAATAATTATCTTGCGCGATAGAGCGAATGCGATATATATATATTTATAATTAATAAATGGAACTTTTAGTAATCTTGTACCAAGAGATACAGTTCCGAAAATTCATTTTCGCGCTTTGGGCTCTATTATTGGCTGATTTAAAATATTATATTTATGTTATTAGTATTTAATATATTAACTGTATCTCTTGATACGAGATTACTAAAAGTTTCATTTATTAATTAACCTCGAACTTTCATATGAAAAAATAGGTCTGAAAAATTAATTTTCGCGTTTTGGGCTCTATTGGCCGATTTAAAATATATTTATAATATTTTGTAGTTTAACGGAGAATATATCAGCTGTCGTAGCTAAAATTTAAGCATGATATATATATATATATAATTTTATTCATTTTTAGATAACGGCAAACACTGATAACGATTAACTGTTAATATTCTATGTGACGAGCAACTGAATTTTTAATTAAGAAGAGAAAGAGTGACGGTTTTCTCTGTTTCGTTTTAAAAATGAAAAAAAAGGAAATAGATCAGTTAAAAGCATGTTTTCATGAAAAATTCCGATGAGATTATCCTTTCAATTATTTTTTAAATATGAATGCTTTTATCGCTGAAAAAGCAAGCCGGTTTAAGATTGAGCGAAATCACTTTGTGCAACGCGAGTAAGAAGGATGAAGGATAAAAACCTCGTTTTTTAAAAAATGATGAGAATAGATTATAAATAGACCCGTCCGTGCGAGCCCCCAATGAAAACGAGAATAAATTTTAACAGATAAGAAGAATAATGATGGTATATAGGCAATATTATACGCAGATTGTATCATGGTAGAAAAAAGGGGATTAAAAAATAGTGGCCGAATATTAATAACACTGTAAAATAAAATTTTTTTTTTGAACAAGTTTAGTCGTTTTTTACAGTTTTTTGGATGCAGTTTCCAAATTGCTCCATTATGTCAAATTTTGAGAAATTTTTAATTAAAGTTGCAAAAAGACTGTTTTCATGAACTTTGTCACATTTTAACAATATGTGACGTGCTGGAAAAATTTTATTTTAATCAAAGTATAAAGTATGTTGTTTGAACTTTCAACCATCAAAAGGAATTTTTGGTGTCGGTTAATAAGATAGGTGGTTAAATATGAGCTGCGATTTACAATTAGATCATTGATGATTTATTAAACAGCTTTTAAGGATTAAAAAAATTAGTTAAAAACCTTTAAAATATTAAATAAACATAATTGAAATCTATTTATATTCTATTTAACTACTGCAATACATTTAATCGTGTATGAATACTTTATTTACTGACATAAAAAGTTCCTTTTGAAGATCCTAACCATATACTTAATATTGATTACAATAAAACTTTTCTAACACGTCATATATATATTGCAGCTATAATAAGTTTTCGTGAAAAGTGTCCTTTTTTACAACTTTAAATGAAAATTGTAACATGATGAGAGAAAATCTGTTTATATTCCCTATTTAACCTCTGCAATATATTTAATCGTGGATACTATTGACTGACATAAAAAACTCCTTTTGAAAATCCTAACAATATACTTTATTTTGATTGCAATAATACTTTCTAGTACGTCATATACTGCAGCTATAATAAGTTCGTGAAAAGTGTCCTTTTTTACAACTTTAAATAAAAATTATGACATGATGGAGTAATTTGGAAACTAGATTCGTATTGTTAGCATCCAAAAAATCTATATAAAAAAGAACAATTAATCTCACTCCGATTAATTTTTCTTGTTGAGGAGTATAATCTCGTTTCGCGACGACGAAATTAGATATAACAGATGTCATGATTGTCATAAATTAAAAAAAAGACGTACAGAGGTGAATAGACACTGTAAAAAAATGTGTTAACTTGACTAAATTTAACCTTTCAACTAAATCACTATCTGGATAATTGAACAAATTGATATATCAGTATTTAAATCAAATATACGTTTTGTTAGATTTAATAATTTAAATATTTTTATACGTTCAATTAACAAAATAATATTTAGTTGAAAGGTTTAGTCAAGTTAACAAATTTATTTAGTTCAATACTGAGAAATGAATCATTTATTTGAAACAAATAAATATTTATTTGTTTTGAAAAGGATTTTCTTATATCAAATAAATATTATGAATAAAAAATCAATATTATTATTAATAATAAAATATAAAATCAAATAAATATTATTAGTTTGAAATAAATGCTTCGTTTCACAGTATTAAAATAACTACTTCTAAGAACGATCAAATTTTTTGGTCAGTGTACCTATATCGCTTCTGCGGCAAAAGTTGGAATAATCTCTCCTCTCCTTCGCGCCGACATTACAATCGCGCCCTTAAATTAATGCGACTTTTCGCGTCGTCTGCCGGCGGCGCCCGAAGTCCGCGATATTTCATCAAATTACCTTTTCGCTGTCCGCGCGGGGTCATCCCTGATCCTCCCCAATCCATCCCCCCATTGTGCTCGATTTTTCCACGTCTTACGCAGCGCGCAGAATTAATGTGGCCGTTCGCGGTTAAATCAATCGGAATTCTCGCGGGCGCTTCTGCTCGCGAAGGGCCGATCGCATTTTCTGTAATTTTCCATTTACCATCCTTCGTCCTTTTTTTCCCCGATTCGACGACGACGACGACGACGGCCATTTCGCTCCGCGCACACTTTCTCTCTATATATCCTTGCTCTTTTAATCGTCTTACGTAACCGCGAAGGGAGAAGGAGAGAGAAATACGGGGTATTAAATCTGCGTTCCGTCGACAGACGTTCGAAGCGCGTCGAAAGAGCGCTCTTTTAAGGACCGTTTGACCTTTCCGCCATAGTTTCTTTTCCTTCGTCCTTTTTCTCTTCCACTCTCCGCCTTTCTTTTTTTAATGCTCCTTACGCCGACGTCCTCTGTCGGGTATTAGGAATTAATGTACCGGCATGACCGCCTCAATCTTGCAGTCTCTTTTCGTTTCCCGCGACAGCGGATTCCGTAGCTTCTCCAACTTTAAAGAGCGCAACGGAGACATTTTCCATTTTACATTTATGGAACTTTACATTATATTGTGAAGAGGGAGATGGAGTTTATAAAATTTTATTTTTAAGTGTCACTTTCCTCTTCCCACGAGTTCCTTTTATTAAATATTCCTCGAAAGAATTATGCGTCTTTTTTTTCTTCCGTCACGTCGCGTCGTTTATTGACAAGCAAATTCTTCAAAAAAAAAATTGCTACATTTTTTCTTAAATTAATTGAATTGTCGCTCCTTTATATTAGAAAAAATATATTAATTTTTAATAATACCAACTGACAGCCGAAACGTTTACTGTACTATTGATCATTTTAAACATTTCATCGTCTACAGATCATTTAATATAAATCCAGATACAAACTATTATTTAAAAAATATAACTAATATCCGGTAAAATTAGACTTTGATTTCAAAAAAATTATAATCAAGCTGAATTTTTGTGGAGACCGTTATTTCGATGTTCTAATGAAATGAATCCTGAAAAGAATCCTTAATTTCAGTCAGGGTGTTTTTTTAGGGATGGTAAAAGGGGGTAAATTTTAGTTTTTTTTGCCATTATCTCGAAAACTATCAATTTTTCGAGAAAAATAGTTATTACCAAAATTGTAGCTCATAAAATTCTCTACAAAAAAGGTCATTATACTTTTTTTCGTACAACTAATCGTTTTTGAGTAAAACTTTGCGAGCAGTAAAGTTGCAATATTTTTAATAGTAACTAATAGTAGTAACGTGCACATTTTCTTTCAGACCTAATTCGCTCTATATCTTTGAATTCCACGAAAAAAAGTATAATAACTTTTTTTATAGGGAATTTTATGAGCTACAATTTTGATAATAACTATTTTTCTCAAAAAATGGATATGTTTCGAGATAATGGCAAGAAACTAAAGTTTACTCCCTCTTACCCCCATAAAAAACGCTTTAAAATTAAGGGTACTTTTCAGGATTTCATTAGAACATTGAAATAAAGATGTCCACATTTTTTTGAAGTTTTGTCCCTTTCAAGTCTAATTTTAAGAATAATATATTTTTCCTTAACTCGCTGCAACACTTGACCGATGGATCCTGATGGTCGCTTCACATTTCAATGAACGGATCGATGTCTCCTCTTTGTTTCTGACAAACGTAGCGTCATCGTCGACATTTCGATTCGTCGCGATGCACCTTAACAATGTCTCTATACACATTTTTATACTTTTCCTCCAGCCACCCCCTTTTTTATTCTGCAATGTTACAAGGCCCTGAGAGCTGTTGCACAACGATATCCAATGCGCCGGACTATTCCCGCGGAAGGAAACGGGACATCTTTTATTCTCGCACTCTGACATGAAAAGACACTTTTATTTTTGCAGACCGCCTCTCTCTCTCTCTGCTATTTCTTCCCTCTTGAAAACTCGTGGGAATATCAATGCCCACATTCGTGAGCGGGGTTTACGGCGACTTACAATATGGATATCGCTCTCGTACCTTCAAAGAATTTCCTCCTCTCCATCGTGGTTCTTCCAATTTCCCCGTATTCCTCCTCTAATCGTCTTGCGCGGATTCTTGAATCTTTTTATCAGTGGTGTGTGCGCGCTTTTGTGCGATTTTGAACGTCTGTCAACTCCTTGTTTCCTTGCTTCCTATATTTATATCCCCAAAGTGACGAGTTGCACATTATTTTTTTTTTTTTTTTAACAATGAAATATATTTTAACCTCGCAGTCTGTATAAAATAATTCCTAATGAATATAATCCTCTTGTATCGCGTGATTTTTATATGTACGTATGTCTGTTAAATTTCTGTTTCCTTGTTACGTATATTTATATTTTTAAAGTGTGACGAGTAATTTTTTTTTATAATGACCAAAATATATTTTAACGTCGCAGTCTATATAAAATAATTCCTAATGAATATAATCCTCTTGTATCGCGTGATTTTTATATGTACGTATGTCTGTCAAATTTCTGTTTCCTTGCTACGTATATTTATATTTTTAAAGTGACGAGTAATTTTTTTTTACAATGACCGAAATATATTTTAACGTCGCAGTCTATATAAAATAATTCCTAATAAATATAATCCTCTCGCATCGCGCGATTTTTATATGTACGTCTGTCTGTCAAATTTCTGTGTTTCCTTGCTTCATATATTTATATTTTTAAAGTGACGAGTAATTTTTTTTTACAATGACCGAAATAATATTTTAACGTCGCAGTCTATATAAAATAATTCTGAATATATATTATCGTCCTAATGAATATAATCCTCTCGCGCGATTTTTATATGTACGTCTATCAAACCTCCTTGCTCCGCATATTTATATCCCCAAAGTGACGAGTGGTTCTATTTTTTTTTTTTTTTACGATAACCGAAAAATATTTTAATACTGCAGTCTATATAAAATAATTCCTAACGAATGCAGCTTTGCGAACAACGTTACAAATATCCGCGAAAGCTGAAAATAAATTGAGATTAAAATATTCCCAACTCGCGTAACGTTCTCATTGTAATAGTCTGTAATGTAGAGCCATTTTCCGTGGGCGAAATCCTCCCGAGTAACGTCGAGAGCATCATAAAACGGTGAATCCGATCGCAATCTCGTCGCGTCGCGTCGCACTTTCCGCTAATTCCGCTCCGGTTTCCCGGCTCTCCTTTATTAATCACCGTAAATAACCGCGGAGGAATTACGCGGCATTAGACCGCGGGAATTGCGTCCGCACGCACTCGGCCCTCATAAAGGACCCCATCGTCTTAAATACACACTGCCCTCTCCCTTTTTAACAACGTTTTCCCTCCCATGTACTTTTGCACGACTGTAGTCTTTCGCTCTCGAGAGCGCGGAAATCTACGTAGGATTAAAACGCGCAACTTCTCCTCGCATAAAGGACCAGGTTTTCCTGTGTTTTTTCTTCCCCATTCTTTCCTCCTGCTTTTTTTCCAGTTCTTTTTCTCTCCCACTTTGCCCGCCTGCACGACCGCCACTTGATCTTTACGATCCCGCCTCGGCTTTTTATCTCTCACCCGCGCGAACGTCGCGTCGCAGCGAGCCGTCAATTAATATGGGATCACGGTTGGATTTATTATAGTAACCGGTCGGGTGAAAAAGTATCGCGAAAAGCGCCGTTTCTCTTTCCCATAGTCCGCCGCGCGCTCGACGTCGACTTAATTAAAGACGTCACGGACCTAAAGACTTTTATCGAGAAGCTTACAGCCACCGTTTCTACGCGATGCTCATTAATTGCGGGACGAATTCATTTACACGCTGAAGACCGCCCTTGATTGTGTACATATATTAATAATAATGATATATATTAATAGGGCGTTTTTAATAAGTTTTTTTAGTAAAAGAGGGTGACTTTTAGTTTTTTTGCCATTATCTCGAAAACTATCAATTTTTCGAGAAAAATAGTGATTATTAAAATTGTAGCTCATAAAATTCTCTACAAAAAAGGTTATTATACTTTTTTTCGTACGACTAATCGTTTTTAAGTGAAACGTGCGGTGAAGTTGCAAGTTGCAGACGTCACGGACCTAAAGACTTTTATCGAGAAGCTTACAGCCGCCGTCTCTACGCGATGCTCATTAATTGCGGGACGAATTCATTTACACGCTGAAGACCGCCCTCGATTGTGTACATATATTAATAATAATGATATATGTATATTAATAGGTTTTTAATAAGTTTTTTTAGTAAAAGAGGGTGACTTTTAGTTTTTTTGCCATTATCTCGAAAACTATCAATTTTTCGAGAAAAATAGTGATTATTAAAATTGTAGCTCATAAAATTCTCTACAAAAAAGGTTATTATACTTTTTTTCGTACGACTAATCGTTTTTAAGTGAAACGTGCGGTGATGTTGCAAGTTGCAGACGTCACGGACCTAAAGACTTTTATCGAGAAGCTTACAGCCGTGTCTCTACGCGATGCTCATTAATTGCGGGACGAATTCATTTACACGCTGAAGACCGTCCTCGATTGTGTACATATTAATAATAATGATATATATTAATAGGGCGTTTTTAATAAGTTTTTTTAGTAAAAGAGGGTGACTTTTAGTTTTTTTGCCATTATCTCGAAAACTATCAATTTTTCGAGAGAAATAGTAATTATTAAAATTGTAGCTCATAAAATTTTCTACAAAAAAGGTTATTATACTTTTTTTCGTACGACTAATCGTTTTTAAGTGAAACGTGCGGTGATGTTGCAAGTTGCAGACGTCACGGACCTAAAGACTTTTATCGAGAAGCTTACAGCCGTGTCTCTACGCGATGCTCATTAATTGCGGGACGAATTCATTTACACGCTGAAGACCGTCCTCGATTGTGTACATATATTAATAATAATGATATATATTAATAGGGCGTTTTTAATAAGTTTTTTTAGTAAAAGAGGGTGACTTTTAGTTTTTTTGCCATTATCTCGAAAACTATCAATTTTTCGAGAGAAATAGTAATTATTAAAATTGTAGCTCATAAAATTTTCTACAAAAAAGGTTATTATACTTTTTTTCGTACGACTAATCGTTTTTAAGTGAAACGTGCGGTAATGTTGCAAGTTGCAGACGTCACGGACCTAAAGACTTTTATCGAGAAGCTTACAGCCGCCGTCTCTACGCGATGCTCATTAATTGCGGGACGAATTCATTTACACGC